TATTATGCATTTTTGTATAAAAAGATAAGCTTTCCGTAATTAATAAAGAATAACTTGTATAACTTGTATTTTTTTAAATAATTAAAACCATTATATAGTATTTTGACGTAAGGAAAAAGGGTTTCCTTACAAATTCCATCAAAAATCATATCAAGTGCAACATGAGGGACTTTTCCTATAAGTTCATCTTCATCAAGAACATAATTGATTTGTTCTCTTGCTGCTTCATCTTGAATATCAAATAAGTGGACTTTACAACGGACTAAGATAATAGACCTGTTGATCTGAATGCGGTACATGAACATTTTGGACTCGATCAAAACTGTAAATGAGCTTTAAATGAATCTTTCCTTACAACATTCAATTTCCAAAACTCGGATTTATTTGCAACATCCAGACGGGGTGCACCGTTTTTATTCGGATTGGGTGGAAATGCGACTAAAAATTAAAATTTCGAATCGTGTATCAACCTGGGAATTAAAATATTTTATCATTATACTCAATAAATCAAAAGTTATGCGTGTGGCCACCATTGAGAAGGGTTTTTATTGACACCTTTATGTGTGAAATTACGTATGTCGTCAATTTTCTGTGCTAATATTACAGAGTTTTCTACAACTTCTTTGAAAACTCTTTTAGCATACAAGGTAGCCAATTATAAAATTTTTAGTGTCAGAAAATTGTGTTTTGGTTGATAAACGATCTGCGAATTAAAAATATTATTTTCATAGTAAAGACTAACTACATTATTAAAGCAAAGTAAAGCTGCATCATTAAAGCTTTCTAATGAATGTTTTTTATATCCAAAGGAATTCTCTGTGTAAAGTTATGGATATTCAAAATATCATTGCATTTTTACTTTAAAGCAAGATTTACTTTTCAATTATACTGTATAAATAATTTAGGTTATGTGAGGTGTGTTATTTGTTGATGTTTAGAGAAGGCCTGAAAAAATATAATAAATTCAATTATTTATTTCATAAAGGGATCGGGAAGACTCTATTGCAAATTAAATCATATTAACACGAACCTCGAAAGTTGATCGGCGAGTTTTTTCCTGTTTAGGTAAGAAGAATGTATTATATATTGGGGTTTGAAGTTGTTTTTGACTTGCGATTGTATATTTTGTTTTTTATGGTAAGTTTATTTATTTATTTATTTATTTATGTATATATATATTAGATTGTTCATATAAATGATTGCAGATAATTTGTTTGTACCACACCGATTCCACCGATGAAACACTGCATCAATATTGTTATTTGCTTGCTAAATAATATATTGTTTTTGACTTTATAATAAAAAGAAGTCATATAATATTCTAAGTGCTTGCTCGTGAAATAAAAATTTAGAGGATTCGATGTGTTTTTCGAAAATAATAATTGGTTCCAAAATAACGGTTTTTCGATTATTTTAATTGATTATTAAACGTTAATTTATCATGCGTTAATTAAATTCGCTCGCTAATTTTTAGCTAAGAGGAAGAATTATTTCTTGAATCTCTTTTTCATAATTAAATTTCTTGCGACGTTATTAATATTATTATTATAATTGTTACCAAAAGAAGCCATTATTAGTTCACTTATTGTTATTATTCATTCTCCCATACATAATTAATGGATCATCCATCATTCCATATTTTATTATGATGATGGATGACACAGCATGAAGAATTGAATGAAAACAATAAAAAAATCAGGAAAATTAATTTATACCGATCATGTGCGTCGAATTATAGAAAGAAAGAAGGTAAAATATTAAAGAACTTTCTGCTCCTTATCCCAATAATGGTAATGACGAAAGAGAAATAGTATAATTTTTATTAATGTTACACCGAAATTCTCATATTAATCATAACATAAAAAGAAAATAAAAATTTCCATTTTTTTAAAAACAAATATTATTATTTCCTTTAAAAATAAAAAAATTTTGAAAAATGGGTCAAAATAAACGCAAAGTTAATAATGCAATCGCAACCACCAAAAATGATAATAAAATCAAAGATGTTGAAATACCGGATAGAATGGATTGTAATCATTATTCGTTGAGGGCAGAATTAGGTAAAAATTTTAGTGCACCCGTCGAGAATTTATTGAAATCTGGTGGTGCCAAAGTTCTAAATGCTCGGTATGAGATTTAGTATTATATTTACAGGTTTTACGAATTTGCAAATTTTAGTTAACCATAACCGTTTAATTTCTTTGTATAGTTGCGGTACTGGTATTTGGACTTTAGAAATGGCTACAGATTTTATGAAATCGAAATTTTATGGAATCGACACAACTGATTATTTTCCAACTCAAGTTCTACCATATAATGTTAAACTTGAACAAATTAAAGATTTGAGTGATAAACTGCCTTACAAAGATGAAAAATTTGATTACATATATTTAAGAGAGACAATAAGGTATATTGAAAATGAAGATTGGTGTGGAAATATCCTAAGTGAAGCTATACGTGTGTTGAAAAATGGTGGTTGGATTGAGATTTGTGAACCTGAGATGGAAGTTTCTGATTTTGGTCCAAACATGAAAAAATATTTTGACGAAAGTGAGTCATTAATGTACAATATTAATTGATTAATTTGTTATTTATTTGTTTATAATAAATTAAATTTTTTTTATTTATTTAATAATTTTTTTTAGTTATATCGCTTATGAAATCTAGAAATATTGAAACTAATATTTCCCAAAGGCTTGTTGAAATCTTAAAATCCACAAAGTCATTTGATCTTATGGAAGTAAGTTGTGTCGAATTGAAATATGGTAAATGGGGTGGTATAACTGGCGAGTACATGGCCGAAAGTTTCCTTGATCACATGCTAGAGAAAAAAGAATACCTGAAAAATACTATGGGAATGTCAGAAAGTGAAACTGTGAAATTCATTGATGATTGTCGTGACGAATTAAGATCCGAAGAGATCAGAGGGAAATCTAAATGTATTATAATTCATGCTAGAAAACAGAAATAATCCTCATATCTTGTCATGTGCCAATAGCCTTTAAGTATGAAGTTTGATTCATCTAAATTGTTTTTATAAATATAAATAGTACATTAATAGTATATATATATATATATGTCACATATTTACAATGACTATTTTTAATAAGTGGCTCATATTTTAAGCTTTTCAATAGCTTGAGTAATAAACAAAATTTAGTCAGTTGATCATTCATTTGTAATGCATTTTGGAGCATGCTTTCAAAAAACACTTTGAGTAGTTCTAAAATAATTGTAGTAGGAAAGTCACCAATTTATTTTATATGTATTACGCTTTTGTATTGGCCCACGTTTAAATTCGCATTACCAAACCATGTTATGCTTGCTGATCACAAAACATATGTGAAAATTTCATAATGTATTAGTATCATCAGGAAATTTATTCCTGCCATAATATAAGTCTACTATGTGATTTTGCACCTGATGTAATAATTGCGTAATATGTCCAAAAGAAATTCCTGGTGACATAATGTAGGTTTTGAATAATTAACAACAAACAAGACAATCGAAAATCTAAGTTATATGGAAAATTTTTATAGGCTGCATTCCAATTATTCAGATTTCTGACCTTCTTGAGAATCTCTTAGGAACTAAGTTTTAACTTGATACTATGTGTGTAAAATTATGTGTGTGTAAAAGTATGTGTGTGTATATAATTTCTGCTGCTACCAACTTGTAAGGAAACCCTTTTTCCTTACGTCAAAATACTATATAATGGTTTTAATTATTAAAAAAAATGCAAGTTATACAAGTTATTCTTTATTAATTACGGAAAGCTTATCTTTTTATACAAAAATGCATAATATAATATTACAATTAAATAAATAAAAATAATATCTTAGAACTTCCCGGAAAGCCGCAGCACTTAATTTGTAACTCATATACATAAGAAAATAATATAAATAATAATAATATAAGTAATATAAATAATACATAATATAAATAATAAGTAATATGACGATAATATATATAAATAAAGTTGTAACGTTTCGTTTTAATTTAACGCGTTACGCGAAATAAATTTTGTATTACTGTGCCACATTTCATATTCGCAATTAACGAAAAAGAACTGTTACAGAATTAAAGATTACTTGTGATAAAGGTGAAAAGCATTTAAAGATTATCTTTTCAAAGTAATATATATATATATACAGTACAATCAAAATATTAGAGTGTAAGTATAAACATATTCCTTTATTAGATATTTTATTTTTGCTTTTAAAATATCATCTGCATTTGATATTAATTCAATTAATTAGCTTTAGAAAAGATTGTGTGGTCAAACAATCTGGAAAAAGTTGTTAAAAGAATTGTTGTTATGCAGCAATCAAAATCATTATATTATTTGATATTGATCAAATGGTCTGGAAGGAGTTGTTACGCAACTATCAATCTAATGTTGTTTGATGAAATGTTGCAAAACGTCAAATTTGCTGCCATTAAGTTAAAAATGACGTAAGTAAAATTGCTTCAAATAAAAAGCTTACAAAAAAAAATATAAATATATATTCCAAGGTCTCCTCTTCAATTTTGTATTTTTATTGTATGTATCCCAATCAGGCTAGAAATAGTACTTTAAAAATCCGGATTTTCCCTTAAAAAATTTAACTTCCGGAAAAAAAAAGAGTTGCCAGGGCCCCCGCAAGCTATATATTACCAGTGTTGGAAATTCAGGGTGCAGAGGGTAACAGGAGAGACCGTTCTGGGAACACAAAAATTAACAGGAGGGAACACAAAATTTTAACCCATGCTATTTGTTGATT